ATTTTAGCCGATAACCGTAAAAGCTAACACCCCATTGAGACCCTCTATTGCTGCCTACTAATATTTCTTTACTTTAACTTTTATGTTGAACCCTGGGACAGGGAAACTTTTTTCAAGTGACCACTCTCAAGAAAGGGACAAGAGGCCGCTAAACGTTGTCCACTCAACAGAGGTTAACGTTCTGTTGCAGGTGAATTTACTGACAATTTTGTCCACCCTAGTAAACAGTCCCTAAATAAAGGAAGGCTAGGTGATATGGGGTGGGGTTGGGGGGAAACGTTCTAGAAATTCAAGTTAACAAAATAATATATGACATTATCAGGGCAAAAAGACACCAGAATGTCCATAAAGTGACTCTGTAAAGCATGCAAAACTGTAGAACCACACAGGCAATATTTTATCAGGAGCAGACTTCTAGGAAAATTTCACTGCAGCTTGTATTGCTTCAGAAGATAAACTGAACTTTCATTGGACTGAAAATACTAATTAACTTGAAAAATGATCAACTCCACAGTATGTTTGTAATAATACTTCTCTTTTAAAAACTAAATAACTGAAAGCGAATATTTCTAAACAATGCCAAAGTTTGCTATGGTTAATCATTTCCATTACAAGAAGAAGTTAACAAAATGAAAAAGAAAATAACAAACCAACTCACTCTTCTCTATTTCAAGTCCACGTTTCTCAATTCTTTGCCAAACATTGGGATGTCTAGCCACTTTGAAATGGGCATCTCGCTGACATTTCTTCACCAGTAGTCAGAGCAAAGACAAAGCAAGCTGATGCGAAGCATTTTTCGTACACTGCTTTATCTAATTTACAAACCTTACAATGACACAGACCGGACAGTCTTTATCGAGGACTCCTTTGCATGTAAATGTTTCTTTCCGCAGACGGATTTGATTGAGCTAAATTTACCACGCTTAATAACAACTTGAAAACCCGTTCGGCCTTGTCTTTCCCTCCATTTTTATTTACCCTTTGACCCCTGGTTCTACTGCTCATGCTCAGATGGCAAACCAATGAAAACTCGAGTTGAAACGGATTATCCCAGAGGTCGATAGAGGTCCCCGTTGGGTAGGTACGTGGTGTAAGCATCATATAGTGGTTCCCCGTTAGTTACTAGAAGCAGTGTACATAATCCTACATAGCCATACATAGCCATACGTAGCCATACATAGCCCTACATAACCATACATAACCCTACATAGCCCTACATAGCCCTACATAGCCCTACCTAGCCCTACATAGTCATACATAGCCCTAGATAGCCATACATAACCGTACATAGCCATACACAGCCCTACATAGCCATACGTAGCCCTACATAGCCCTACACAGCCATACATAGCCCTACATAGCCATACATAGCCCTAGTATACATAGCCATACATAGCCATACACAGCCCTACATAGCCATTTATAAAATAATTAAGATAGTATGCGCGTTCTGATTGGGCGAGAGTAATGTTTGCATGAGAGTATGTAAACATCGTTGTGGCGTCAAGATGTTTCGCTTTTCGTGCGGTTATCATGCAGGCACGAATTTCAAAAAGTTTTGGAGTTCAAAACTCGACAAGTTTACTTTATTTACCCATTTCTTTGTCGGCTGAAACTTGGGAAATCCTTACAAAGAAAATGTGTCAATTTCTCTTGCTTAAGCTGACATTTTAAGCGAGAAAAATCCATATTTTAGAAAGCATCTTTTTGGAAAACGAAAACTGATTACACGTGCAACACTTCGTGGACAGGACTTTGCGACTGGTAAGAATTTATCTTTTAATCAGTGCCGTACAAAGAGTGTTGCGTTTTTTCTCGGGAAAGTTATTTTATAAAAGCAATGGAAAGCTTATTTCCTGTGTTTGCATAGCCTGATATAAACACTCGAGGCGTTGGGAGAATTCTCAACAGTTATACAAACCCGAGACGAATCGTCTCGGGTTTGAATAGCTGTCTCGAATTCTCCCAACCCCTCTCGTGTTTATATGGAACTATGCAAACAGAAAACTTTTTCTGTTGCTTAAATATAGCTGTACATAGACATACATAGCCATACATACGCCTTTGTCTTGATTTTCAAAGCTGGCGCTTTTCGTTAATAGTGGGCTGTAACATATAGCCTAGTAGTAGCAAAACCAATCAGAATGCAGCATTGATAATAGACCACTAGTTGCATTTTTCAAATAGCCCTATAATCCCTTCACAACCCTACATAACCATACATAGCTCTACATAGCGTTACATAGCTCTACACAACCCTACATAATACTACGCAACCCTACATAGCTATACATAGCCCTAAAATAGCGCTACATAGCCGTACAGAACTCTACGCAATCCCACATAGCCCTGCATAATCGGACATAGGGCTACATAGTCCTAAATAGCCCTGCGTTATCATAAGAGACTACATTGCGAGGCTTGGACACCAAGAACACCAAAGTTAGAAAAATGACAAGAAACCCTCAGATTCCAAAAAAAAAAAATATTTTATTGGGATCATGGGCTATTATTTAACGCTGACAAGTACCTTACGACTCGTTTTTGAATTTGCTTTTTGTTTTTAAACTTTTTTTTTGATCTAATAGTTCTTTTTCCAAACGTGTAAGATTATATGTTCTCTTATGTCATAGTATAAGTAATAACGATTACATAAGGAAAATAAAGACCTGCGGTTGTACAGTTCTGAAACCACAAACAGAATTTACCTGTTCAGGAGCTAGTTAAGCTTGGGACGTATTTATAACTGATTTGGTGGGAGTTTTGGCACTTTAACATACCTATTGTCTGTACAGACCTAAACAGCTGTACTCATCAACTCATTTACAGCCAAACAGCCAAGTGCAATCTTTTATTATCATACACGGCCCTGGAAACTTGGACACATTGGCTCGGTTATTTAAACGAAGTCCAACTTTGGCAGCGGTTTAGGAGATATTTGGACCTCCAAATCTCTTCCTTAGTGGATTCTTTAAAGAAGACAAATGCTTTTCTTGTCCCCGTTATATGCGCTACTGAAACTGTCACAATAAAGGGTGTTTACATAAAAGCGTTCACCAAACGAAAAATGGCATAAAACGCATTTTCTTAAAACTCTACCTAAACGCTGATTAAATAACTGACCCACTGTTTTACATATGGCCACACATAGCGCTGTGTCAATGTATCAATAGGCCAATTTAAAAAATACAACCCTACTATTTGTTTTCCCTCCAAAGTTTTGCACATGCATTGTTTTTTAATAGTTTCTTGAAAGAGCAACAATCACCCCCAAGAAAAGTTGAAAGCAATACTTACTCAAACTTTTGTAGAGAAAACAAGGAGTATTAAAAAGGCCTATCGAAAAAGGCCCATATTCAATTATACGCTCTAGGTGCTTATTCGAGGTGGGTGCTTGTTTGAGTCTGAACATTAATTAAAATTTAGTGATTTTCAGCAAGTAGTAAGTTAATTTACCAACAAAACAGTAAATAATACCAAAATTTGTGCGAGGACAGAATTTTAGTTTAAATTTGAAAGAAAAATACCTAAGAACTAGGCCTTGGGGGACACCCAGTCAATTTCTATCTCCATCTCATTGTCAGCAGGATCAATAAGTGATCTCTCTGGTTTGCCTTGTCCCTGTCTCACAGTATAATGCCCACAAACAATGTGCTTTTTTTTTTTACAAGTGGACAAGAAGTTTTAGACGAGAAACAGTTGTGGCAGTAAATATATACAAACCGATATCTCTTCTTGTCCAAGTACATGTTACATTTCTGTCTCGCTGTATTCATTATTATAAGAGAGGGAATAAGAACAACTGCAACATTGAAAGCTTTACGTTGAATGAACAAAAATTGTTATTTATATGGTTACATATCAAATGACTTTGTCCTTTGTTCATATTTATAATTTTCAAGCATTCACACAAGTGAATTTTGTGATGACTCAGCTGATAGACTACAGTCTATTACTTATTGCCTTTATCACTACTTATTGTTCATCAGGTCATCCAAAAGATTATGTCTTCCCTTCAAATAAGAGAGTTTACCTGTGATCTGTGCTGAACGTTTTGCTATGATGTCCAACTCCATTTGCGCAACTTGGCTAGACCCAGCAACAAAATTGTACAATGTTACAATATTTTGGGACACACCATGCAAGTCTGAGATTTCTAGAACTTCATAAACAACAAGCAACAACAGTGTTTCCAGATCATTCCAGCGACCTGCTGTGACGTCAAATCCCTGGGAAATCAGGTATTTTGTGCCACCTTTCCTGTTGTATGGGTCAGGATTAGATCTTTTCCTCTTTTTTGGAATATTGGTTGGGCCGGCTGAAACAACATTCCTCTTGCTTGTTTCATTATGCGGGTTGCTACAGTCCAAACACTGGCAATCTCTGCTGCAACTTATCCCTGATTTTAAGCAGGGACATTTTGATTTTCTTTCTCCAGGACAATCACAACAAGAGGGTCTGTTGCTTTCACCTTTTTTCCTTCCTCTTCCACATCGACAGCGTTCATGTAATGACAATGGAGTCAGCTTGCGGTTTGAATTGAGAGGGTTACAACAGTTGTAACACTATGTAGGGCTATGTAGGGTTATGTATGGCTATGTATAGCTATGTAGGGCTATGTATGGCTATGTAGGGCTATGTATGGCTATGTATGGCTATGTAGGGTTATGTATGGCTATGTAGGGCTGTGTAGGGCTATGTAGGGCTATGTATGGCTATGCAGGGCTATGTAGGGCTGTGTAGGGCTGAGTATGGCTATGTAGGGCTATGTAAAGTTATGCCATATATTAACTAACGGGGAACCACTATATGATGCTTACACCACGTACCTACCCCCCGTTGTCCATTCCGCTGGACAAAGCAACGCGGACTATGAGAACGAGATTGATAATTATGCAAAGCGTCAAACATTACGTGACGAGAGAAGTGAAACTCAAAGACATCGCTTTGTTTGCCTTGGTTCAACAACGTTATGTAAAGCAATCAGTAATTTTCCCATAATGTCTGTAGTTGAATACAACAGTTTACTGTTCGAGATAAGTCAGAGACTAGACGAACTGAATGCGTGCAGGAAGTTATTGGTTATGTGCAGAGGGAAGGTGGCGCATCGAAGCGACGAAAATATGTAAAATGTCTTCCCGTTGTTTGAGGAACTGGAGCAGAATAGTTTTCTTGGTCCTGACAAATTGGAAGTCTTGAAAGATGTATTGAAAGGCGTGAAAGAATGGTCCCTTTTTGGAAATGTCAAAGCTTTTGAGGCCAAAAGAAAGGAATATAAGAGCTTGTTGGAAAAGATTATTCATGTACTTGACGAGCTCGATTGTCTCGAAGAACTCGTAGCCATTTGCAATGATTGGATACCGGAAGAAAAACGTAGTAGCATGGGAGATGTTAGATCACTGTTTAAAGAGCTCGAAAACAATGAATCCCTAGGGATTGACCGTCTCGAGGTCTTAAAACGGATTTTGACACAGAAGGAGCAAAGAGAACTACTTCAGGAAGTGGTGGACCTTCAGGAAAGAAGAAACAAAGAGGATGAATTTGAATGGCGAAAAGGTACTCTTCACTCAGCCGTTCTAGAACACTCTAGAGGGTCTTTCGTTACGGTCTCTCAGTCTTTCTCCATTGTTGTAGGTTTTAATTTGTCTCTCCTACCTTGCTTTCAAATGAATCTAAACTAAGCTTATTTCTTTTAAGCACAAGTGGCTCAGATTGCGTCGTCGGCTAGTAGCAATTTACTTGGAGGTAAGTTGACATAACGGGCTATAGCTATGAGTTTTATGGGAANCCTTCAGGAAAGAAGAAACAAAGAGGATGAATTTGAATGGCGAAAAGGTACTCTTCACTCAGCCGTTCTAGAACACTCTAGAGGGTCTTTCGTTACGGTCTCTCAGTCTTTCTCCATTGTTGTAGGTTTTAATTTGTCTCTCCTACCTTGCTTTCAAATGAATCTAAACTAAGCTTATTTCTTTTAAGCACAAGTGGCTCAGATTGCGTCGTCGGCTAGTAGCAATTTACTTGGAGGTAAGTTGACATAACGGGCTATAGCTATGAGTTTTATGGGAAAGATTGAATACAAGATTTCAGTACCAAAACAATCAATATTTATTTTATTTTATTTTATTTAGTCACTCACAAAACCTTATACAACATGAATAAAAGTTGTTAATTAAATTATAAAATTAATGTGACAAGGAAGCCTAACGAAGCTTGAAGCTTATATTAATAGGCTTCCTTCAACTACCTAGTGAAGTAAATTCATGGCTGAGTGCAGAGTGAACAAGATCAGAAAATTAAGCGACAGATCGGCTGTAAAAAAAACAAACAATAAAATAAAATAAAACAATAAAACAACAAATGAAACGAAGGAAAATAGAAGTTAAGTAAGAGAGAAAGGAACAACAACTATATATTGAACATTAACATAGAAAATTACTTGGCTATGTACGGCTTCTACGTTACTCGTATGTTAAGCAACTTAAAGTAGAATTCGGATTTATAACAATTTAGAATCTTTTCAATATAAGAGGCACTAAGATTTATGATGTTTTCATCGCACATAGACATGATATTTAACCAATAGAAAACGTTTGCCGTGTTTGCATGGCCTGATATAAACGCGAGAGGGGTTGGGAGATTTCGAGACACTTGTGCAAACCCGAGACGAAGTCGAGGGTTTGCATAACGGTCGAGAATTCTCCCAACCTCTCGAGTGTTTATATCAGGATATGCAAACACAGGAAAAAAAGTTTTCTATTGCTTTTAGGAAATAACTTTCCCGAGGAAAAAAGCAAAACTCTCTTGTTTAGAGCGCTGATTAAAAGAGAAACTCTTACCAGTCGCGAAGTCTTGTACACGAAGCTTGTAGGCGTAATTCAGTCCTTGTTTTGCAAAAAGAAATGCTTGCCAAAATATGGGTTTTTCTTGCTTAAAATGTCAGCTCAAGCGAAAAAAAAAATAACACAGCATGTTTACAAAGATTTTTCAAGTTTTAGCCGACGAGGAAATGTGTAAATAAAGTAATCTTGTCGACGAATTTTTCAACTCAAAACCATTTTTCAAATTCGTGCTTTCGTGAGTAGCACGAGAAAAGCAAAACCTCTTGACGTCACAACCATGTTTACATACTCTCATGCAAACACGCCTCTCGGCCCATCAGAGCGTGCATACTATCTGAGTTATTTTATAAATAAAAATAGTGCCTTGCAAGACATACTCGTAAAATTACTGTTTATCCATTATAGGCTCCCCAAGAAGGTACATTTCAACAAATAGTGGAATTCATCACCTGTTTCGGATCTATTACAAAGGTACCGAAGTCTCTCAACTCTGGGTAGCTTCTTGTAATGGGTAGCAAGTGGTACGAAATTCGCATTTTGGTTACTGCCACTCTTGTCTTACTATGTTCTTTATTAAATCATGATAAGTTTCAAAGCTGACTTCTTTTCGTTTTTCAATTCACTATACAGACTTAGTTTATTTCCAACTGAGGAGTCAAATTTATCCTTTTTCAAATTTTTCGACCAATTTTCCTGGTATTATTTTAACAAATTTCATTTAAACACTCTAACCAGGTGAGAAATTCTCCTGTAGTCAAGATGTGGCAGATCTGGAGTATAATCAGTTAATTTAGTAAAGTGTACTGGGTGCTTTACAGTAATAAACGGTGAATGCTTACCTACATTATTTAAATGGATGTTTATCTCTTGGGCGCTACTTAAAATTTAGCTTTTTTGTAGAGTAAGTAACCTTAAGAAGTACTTAAAAATTCTAGTGTAAATAATAAGATGAAGAGGAAAACGTCCGAGTTCTTCCTTCACCGCAAGGTTACTTGCTTTAGAGTGAACCCCTAAGGCCATTTTGTATACC